GGGGGAGAGAGAGAGAGAGAGAGAGAGAGAGAGAACCATCAATGTGAGGCACACATCAACTGTTGCTTCCCACATGCCCCCGACCAGGGCTAGGGATCGAGCTTGCAACCGAAGTACGTGCCCTTGGCCAGAATCAAACCTGGGACCCTTCATTCCACAGGCCGACGCTTTAACCACTGAGCCAAACCGGCTGGGGCTTAATCACAGCTTTAAACAGATAAATAATCAGAATCAGATTGCACACAGTCTTATAGTCTCATTTTTTTCACCTAACATTGTATTGACCCCATGTAAATATTCTTTGACATTTAGTCTAAATAATAAATTAAATGCAAAAATGCTGACTTTGCCCTTTAAAAGTCATTTAGCTGTGGCAACTTTTAATTTGTAGGCTTCCTATGACTTAGCTCAAGGTCATGATTATATATTTCAAATTCATTTCTTTATTTCCTTCACAAAAAATTTTGGGATGTAATTGAGGTTGAGCAAAATGCTGAACAGAGCCACAGAGTTTACATGCAGCCCATGTAAAAGCTAAGATAATACTTTATACTGAAACACATTTCTTGGTGATCTGATACTCCCCAGCCAGTCATTCCATAGTATCGGTAACACGAATTTAGAGCCAGAGGGGAGCCTTGATCTGGAATTACTACTAAGGCTATTCTATACATTTGACATGGTAAATTTTAATTTCAAAGTGCTTCATAAGTATCGGAGATAGTAAAATGAAGTATTATTTAGTGCCCAGATTCTTAATTTTTAATATTTTTCTAAAAAACTTGTGTCAAATACTACTACCATCCAATTTTACAGTATTAACACTCTGACCTGAGATTTTATGGAAAGCTTTAAAGTATATTCTTTGAAAAAAGCTGCAGCTGTGTGGTATTTTGAAGAAGGAAGCTGCCCATGAGAATTGTTTATACGGAAATACGATCTTTGTTTACAGGTTGCCTCAGCCACTGCTCATTCCCGGTTTTAATAACAACTTAAAATAATCTCATTTCTATGGCCATCAGAGGTGCTGCCCTGCCACTCCTGTTCACCCTGGACACATGCTTCCAGCGTGGAACGTCATAGGCAATGACAGGGAGGGCAGCTACCCAAGTCCTGACATGAAAGTTTACCTGTAGCCAATTACATCTATTTTATCTGAAGCTCTAAATATTTAAAGTCGTTTTCTTTAATACCTTTCTAAAATGTTAAGGTAGGCACGTTCTCCGTTTAAGGAGCACGTCCACACCTTTCTTCCCTCTCAGGTGTGCATCTTTACTTTTCTCTCCCTAAACTCTAAGGGTCCCCACAACCAGGGAAGCGATTGGCAGTGGCAGCCCATCCCGGGCTAACCTCCAAGGTCCCGCGCCTTAGCTCACTTCTTTCCTATAAGGTTTCTAGAGAGCCAAAGCAACCCCACCTAGTCTCTCTCCTGTTGCATCTTCTATCCTAAGCCTTTCCTTTTTCACTGTCCCCAGCTTTAATAAACATACTCTCAAAAAAATTTTTTTTTAATTAAAATAAATATGTTACAGTAGAAGAAAAGCTGGGAACCACCAACCACCTAAGCAATCTGGGTTGCCAGGGAGGAGGGGTCTGATGGGGATGACAGGACCACAGGTCAGTGAGGTTAGTTTTTTCATCCCGTCAGGAGCCACAGGCAAAGCAGCAATGGATGGATGTTTTACATGGGGCATAAAGACTACCGTGATAGGCAGGTCCAGTTCCAAATCTACTCCGACCCAAATCTATTCTAACCACTTACACTAGACTTCATAAAAAATGACCAAACTATACTTAAAAGCTGAATAGGAATTAAAATGTCTCTAAGCTACCATTTCACAATTTCTCGACAAAAGTCATTTCTCAACTTTTCATCAATTTTTTATTTGCAAGTGTCCAACCTAATCTATAGGAAAAAGCAGTTGCACAGTCCCTGCCCTCCATTTCCAGAGAAGATTTCTGATCTAGGTTGTCCATCCCATTTTACTGGCAAATAAATAGCTGTCCAATATTAAAGCCACACTTTATTTTGATAATCTCTCTACTTTTAATTCAATAGTATTTCCACTTTAAAAAAATGTATCTTTATTGATTTCAGAGAGAGAGAGGGAGAAAGAAAGAGGGAGAGAGAGAGAGACAGGAACATCAATGATGAGAGAGTCATTGATCGGCCGCCTCCTGTACATCCCCTACAGGGATCGGGCCCACAGCCTGGGCACGTGTCCTGACTGGGAATCAACTGTTATCTCCTGGATCATAGGTCGATGCTCAACAGCTGGGCCACGCTGGCTGGGTATATTTTCATTTTTTAAAAAACAGTAAGAATAATTTTTTCTTTGAAAATATGATTCACTTCTTTTTTAAGCAGAGTTTCTTCACAGCAAAAGAATAGCAACTCTAAATTCCTTGAGAAGAGGAATCAACTTAAGGATTTGTTTCCCAACAGCACTGAGTCACAGCACTATACACAGTAGACAGTAAAAATGGTTTCAGTGTCAACAACACACTGTGAATTCCACTAGGGCAACTGCAGATTCAGGCTACAAATATTTATCATGTATCTCTATAAGCAAGGACTGTACTGACTTTGCAGACTGACTTGTTTAAGAGGGAATATAAGTCTAGCACAGCTTAACCAAAAAACTGAAACTGAAAATTAATCACTGCATCGCAACAACCAAATGATTCCACTTCCTTTCCACTCTGGTTATTTGGGCTGAATAGCTCTACTTTTTTTTTGGAGCTGTGATGCTCATTTCTTCACTTGTTCACTTTGATTCTCTCCCCATCGCCTTCCTAAAAGTGCTGATTTATTAAGTATTTGGAAAATAATTAAAATGAACTAGTTTCCAGATATTTTAATGACAATTTCTCCATAGCCTCTTTGGCTTATTATGCCAGCAGAGGCTAAAGGCTGTCTGAGCCCAAGGCCCTTGTTCTGACTTGCTATACAAAACTCTTCTAACAGCATGGTTGAAAAACAGGTCTGTCCTGCATCTGTCCTGATCCCCTTCCCCTAACAGATGAAGGCGCCCCTCTGCCTTCTTCCTCCCACCTGCGATTCCACGCAGCTTGCGTCTCCTCACTTGGAGCCCACAGCTGCTGTTTACAGTGCAGCAGAGGTGCAGGTGATTATTAGAGAGCCATGCCTGTCCCATCTGCACCTGAAACACAGCTAGAAGGGAGTAGTTCTAGGAAATTGCTTTGTTACCATAGGAACAAAGACCAGATTTCTTAGTGTATTTTTCACTAAGATGACTTCCAGAGTGAGTCTCATCCCACAGGGAAGCAAACACCAAGGGCTTATGTCTTAAGTCCAATTTTCCTGCCATTGGACAGTGGGTTACCTCTCTTGGAATCAGGAACCCCCTGATGTTCCTCAACAGCCTGCTATAGCCTAGTCTTTGCCTCTAGGCGTGGTTTCTTCACCCCCAGCAAGGGCTGCGACATACCATCCCCCAGCACTCACTGGGGCATTGAACTACTTGATTGCAAACAGATTTCAACATCTCTTTACTCCTCCTGCATGCCAGTGACCCATCCTCTTGCCTTTGGAGTCAACACTATAGCTACCTCAGCGGCATCTGAGTCTGTTAACAAGCCCTTAGGGGAAACCATTACCCTCCTTGCCTTCAGAAATAAGTCCTGGTCTTACACTAAAGGGAGCCAGGGTGTGCCTCATATTTTCCACAATGTACAGGGTTTGCAGGATACTCACGCTTCACTGGATTATCCACAGTGCTGCCTCAATGAAATCAAGTTTTGCTGGTCTTTAACGGTGGCCACTTGGGCCCCATGCTAGAGTGAGGAGTTACCGGGCAAAAGAGAGCAAGGCTTTCAGGAAGTTTATCTGTGTGTCCTCTCTCAAAGCAAAGAGTGGGGCTGGGCCAAAGTGTGAGGAATAAAATTAGACTTTCGTGTTGCTGAAAAGCAACATGGCTCAATGGGCTAAGAAAAAAGTTTCAATTCCAGGTCACTCAGGGACTCAATGGGTAACTCTGGGAGGACAAGTGTGTGTGTGTTTCAGTTCTCTACATCTAATCAACCAAGTCCTGGCTATACTTCCTTCAAAATCAGTCGCTTCATCTCCATTGTTGCTACTTTAGTTTCCAAGCCTGTAACAAATCACACCTGGATTGCTTCTTCCTAACTGGTTTTGCATTTTTAATCTCTTCTCACTATAAGCAATTGTGAATAGAAAATCTTAAAATATAATTTAAATAACTATAATTCCTTAAGTGCTAACTAGGGGCTGGACACTTTGTTGAGAGTTTTATATACATTATCTCATTGAGTCTTTTTGATTCTATGTGATGAAAATCATCCTTATTATAACTATAAGGAGACCAAGGCTCAGGAGTTAAATTTCTCAAGATCAAATGGCTACTAAGTGGCAGAGCTAGGATTCAAACCTGAATCTCTGTGACCTCCTAACCTTCCTCTCAGCCACTTACATTCTGCAGCCTCGTGCAAAGCACTTGTACATAAGCCTATCGAGGCTTTCTAGTCTCTATCACAACCTTTAGCTGATTTTTAAACTTTAGCTGATTTTTATATTTTGGAGGAGGTGACTCCCCTCCTCTGAATTTCTATGATGTTCAGTCTATACTACACAATTCAAGACTGAATTACATGGCTCAGTGGTTAGAGCGGCACCCTACGGACCAAACGGTCCTGGGTTCAATTTTGCCCAAGGGCACATACCTCAGTTGCAGGCTCAATCCTCGATCCCCAGCCCTGGTTGGGGCATATGCGGGAGACAACCAATCAATGTGTCTCTTTCACATTGATGTTTCTCTCTCTCTCTCCCCCTTACACTCGCTCTGAAAAGCAATGGAAAAAATATTCTCTGGTGAGGATTAAAAAAATAAAAATAAACGTATGTGCCTTTCCTTAAAAAAAAAAAAAAAGTGCATTATACTCTGAGTACTAGTTTACTAAATGTTTTACTTAAATCAATCTTCCCAATGGTTTCATTGAAGGCACACATTATATTTTAGAGCACTCTTAATTTATATCCTCACCTAGTAGAGTGCTGGGACGTCACAAGAGTTCAGTGACTACTGAAGACTGACAGCTGCCGTACACAGTGGCGGTGTTACCACACACAGGAGCTGATCTAAGGGTCTCACATGCATTGACTCTCCCAGTTCTCACAATACCCTACAAGGCAGGTACTGTTATTACCCCCTTGAAGAGGAAAGCCTGGCACTGTGTTCGAGTCAGTCACTCAAGCTCAAACAGCTAGTAAATGACAGAGCTGGGATTCAAACCCAGGTAGTCTGGCTTCATGACGTACACTCTTAACTATTAGTTAAAATGCTAAGTCCATTGAAAATAAAAGTGTGTCAACAATGAAGAAGAAAAAGAATGATATGGGGATAACCTTTTCTGTCAACCACTAGTAGAAGGAACCAAGCAGGGAGTGAGACAATTTAGTTTTGGAAACTACCCCTTGCTGAAGTAACTCGTTCTGCAGCATCCTTCCTAAACATACCTGAAGAAAAAAATTCAATTATTTTTCCCAATAACCCAAAACTTACTTTACTCCAAAGTCTTTGATAAGCAAGAGAAATACATTTCCTAAAAAGTCAGTAAAACCAGTTCTCAACCACCTAAAACATAGATTAATACCCTAACAAAAAGCAGTTTCTTTTGTAGGGTAAAAGGGAAATCAATCCTGAAGTATCTTGATTTGTTATTGTATCCTTTAGTCCTTTTGCTAAACAAAGTACTCAAACCTTGTTGCTTTTGACCTAATAATGGGCACAGAATGGGATAAAACAAAAGCGACCCGGGTCCCTGGACCAGCAAGCTTGAGCTAGAAGTCAGAAAAGCTGGATTGGCTACTGGGGAGGTAGGAATGGGGTAGATGAGGGATGGTTAGAAATCAACTTACAATATCCTAAGGGCTAATATCCAACTGCCAACTGTGACCAACTGAGGTACAACATTTCTCTACAACCAGTATGGAGGGACAGATTCACCATCCTCATGTTCTCCCCGCCCCTGCCTCCACCTGTTGAGTGCCATGGTGACTGTAGCTCCCTGTTGCATCTCCTGAGAAGCTGCTACTGCGGCCTCTGCCAATGATGCCACTGCCTGGGTGGCCTCTGATGCTTGCGTCGTCTGGATGGTCATCTCACCTCCTTGTAACGTGGCCCAATTTTGTTCCACCTGAGGCAGAAAGGACACGGTAGTAAAGAATCAAAGTCAAAAAAGGAGTATGATTTTAAAGTCATTTTTCTAATAAATTGCTATGTGCTCAGCCAAATACATACACACTTTTAAATGAACATGACATTGGCTATCTTTTGTGTGAGGGGGGCGGGGAATCAGAATATATAATTGAATTTGCTTATATTTGCATAAAGAAATTCTGGAAGGACACAAAAGAAACCATTGAAAATATTTTCCTTAGTTTGTGAGTTGAGGTGGGGTTGGGTTGGGTTGTGGGAATAGCTTGAATAGGAGGCGTAAAGCAAGATTTTCCACTGTATACTTTTAAATAATTTTTGAAATATCTGAGCCTTATCAATATGTTACCTGTTCAAAAATTTTAATTTAAAGCATAAGTGTAATTTAAAAAATATTCAAACTGTATCAAAGGGAATATAATGCCAGAACTCTAAACTCTTTGCCCAAAGGCCACTACTATTACCTATTTCTTGTATATCTTTGCAGGGATAGTTTATGTGCAAGCATATTTACATACACATACACCTACTTCCTCCTTTCTACTCCTTTTAAAAAATAAAAATGGCAGTATATTCGACATATTGCTTTTTTCACAAATAATACATCTCTGAAATGATTCTATTTTGGAACATATAAAACTACATTCATTCAGGATTCATAATAATGGCTGCACAGCATTGTATTATATACACGACAGCTTATTTAACCAGCCATCTTTTAATGGGCATTTACAGAGTTTCCAGTCTTTTGCTATTATAAACAGTACTGTGGTGAATATCCTCAACTACTACTTTGTATATTTTATGTAAGTATATTTATAGAGTACATTCCCAGAGGTGGAATTGTATAAAGTCATTTTGCATTTTTATTTCTGATGGAAACTGCATATTCAGTAAGTAATTTAATGTAGCAAAACGTGTTTTCCTTTTAGTGGGGAGGAATGATGAGGAAACGGCACACATACTACCTGTGACAGAGCGGCTGGGAATTCAGCTTTGCTAGATTAGCACAGGGTTTCTCAACTCTGCACTATTAACATTTGGACCAGATAATTCTTGGTTGTAGGAGGCTGTCCTGTGTACCGTGGATGTTTAGCAGCATCCCTGGCTTCTACCTGGTAGAGGCTAACAGCACCCTCCCCAGTCACAACAATCAAAAATGTAACCTTCAGATATTGCCAAATGTCCTCTCTGAGGAGGGAGTGTGGGGGTACCCCTGATTGAGAACTACTGATTTTAGTACAATGCTTTGCATTTAGAGACTTCTCAGCTCTGGATATCTAAATCTAACCACTTCAGTCCATTTTGCTCAATAATCACCAGTTGATTAATTATACTCCCTCAAAAACAAAAAGCAGCAGGGCAAAATATGGGAGGCAATAAATCAATCAGCTCAGGTAAAATATTTCTATGGACTCAAGTCCTTAGGATGTTAGCTGTGCTTACTGGAGCTCTTGCTGTTCCCACCTCACATAACTGGGACCCAGTAAATGGTTAACTTGTGCCCACATGTTACTGCGTCCCAAAGAAAGTGCCGCAAGTTCTAAGAGAGGTAGATATTTAAAACTCCTCCTGCTTTGGTTCTTTTACCATACTAGATTACGACGCTGCTTCTCAGAATGTTTGTGAAAATCCTCCCAGATAATGAGCCATCCCTTTGAGCTACCTTAGTGTTTGGCCTTGGTTCTCATAGGCAATGGACTGTGTAAGCAAGCCTTCAGGACCCATCACCAAGAGGCAGGGTCATCCTATTTCCTTCCCTTGGAGCTGCAAAGTTGACCACTCAGGAATTCACAAAACTCTGACTTCCCAAGGTATTACCTCTTTGATCTCATTACTCCGATGAGCATCACTGCAAACAATGCCACTTTCGATGGCAAGTTACACTGCCAACTCGTAGATGTTCGATGATTCCACTCGAAACATCAGCGGAAGCTGGCCAGCCCTGTCACCTTTTGCCATTAAACAGTCTTCCTCTTTCCAGATCTGCCCCTCAATATTTTTGCCCATCCCACTGCTGAGCTGGCGTGGTGCAGCTCTCCCAAGTATTTATACTCCAGTGGCAGTAACTTAATATATAGACATTTAATTTTTAAAATTTATTTATTGATTTTGGAGACAGAGGAAGGGGGGGAGAGAAACATAGATTTGTTGTTCCACTTATTGATGTATTCATTAGTTGCTTCTTGTACGTGCCGTGACCGGGAATTGAACCCGCAACCTTGGCGTATCAGGGCAATGCTCTAACCAACTGAGCTACCCAGCCAGGGCCTAATATATACATTTAGTTACAACTATATCTGTAGTGAAAATGGCATCAAAATGTTGCCATATACGGTATACTTTAAGGAAGTTAAATTATAGGCATGAAAGATTAATGGATGTTGGTAAAGGGTGGAGAGGAAGCAGGAAAAGCAGCAGACAAAGAGACTTCTATTTAAAAAAATGGCAGGTGATAAATCAGCTTAGGTATGAACACTTCTTTGGAATTCCTATTTTTGAGTCTCAGTGCTTTAGTTGTATTTGCTTGAGCTCCTGTTGCTCTCCCTTTCCATCTGTGTGGTTATCTATTCCTGGATGTCACCATGTCCCAGAGAAAGGGCCACAAGCCCTAGGAGGAAAGATATTCAGAAGATGTATAGTTAGCTTCTATGCTTTTCTGAAGGAGACCCACTACAGTGAGGCCCTTCCAACTGTGGCTCCTCTTATCCCCCCTCTAGCTACTGTGAACCACCTGTGGCTCTCCCACACTTTCACAACGCGATGCATGGCATGTGCCACTCCCTTTGATAGGAACACAACTCCCATCCTTCCGGCCTGCCTTCCTGTCCACCCTTCTAGTCCGAGCTCAGGTGAGGCTGGAGGAGCAGGGCAACTGCACCCCCCGACAGCCCAAGGTTCAGGGCCTCTCCTCTGGGTTGCACAGAACCCTGGACTTGCTTCTNCTTCCGGCCTGCCTTCCTGTCCACCCTTCTAGTCCGAGCTCAGGTGAGGCTGGAGGAGCAGGGCAACTGCACCCCCCGACAGCCCAAGGTTCAGGGCCTCTCCTCTGGGTTGCACAGAACCAGGATCCTTCTCTCATTGCAATTGTTCTGTGGTGTGTTTTTCTCCACCACATACCTGTGTGCTCCTTAAGAACAGGAGCACTCTTTAATTTTCTGTATCTACAGTGCCTGACCACGAAAGAGTCTGCTGAATGGATGAATGAAGAGCACACTCCTTCATTCATATTTTCCTACTTGGATTTTTGCCCTACCTGTATTTCAGGTAAATTGATATTCATAAAAAACCCACTTGAAATGAGTTGTGCTACTTCAAAACTGTTACATATGTTGATGGTTCAATTTAAAATTCATGTCTCTAATGTTTTTGTACTTTGTTTTTTTCTTCTAACAAAATCATATATACCATTATTATCAGATACCATTCTATTTCAGACTCTGACTTTTCTGTCACATAATGTAATTAATATCACCAATACTAAGCTGGTGGTCATATCATATAACAGAATAAATTCTCAAATCCATTTGTATTTGTAAATATGCCATCAAAACTGAAATTGTATAAATATTTTTAAATCAACATACATTTATTTCATATTATTTTGAAATTCTTTTCTTGTTCATTTCTAAATGTCTACATACCTTTTTGTGTCGCTAATTAGTTTTATCCTAGGGTTAGAGATTTTTGTTTGTTTCTTTGTAAGTACTTAAATTATTGGCTATTCTAGCACACAGAGTACTCAGATTTGGGAGACCATATATTACCAGAACAGACAGGTCCCCAAATAATCCTTTCATTTGGACTAAATGTAACCAAATGTAACTAACCAGGTATTAAAGGCAGTGTGCTTTAATGATAGGAGCTCTTACTGGCAAGGTTGAGATAATAAAATGACCTTACAACTTCTAAAAGTATGGGTAATGTTTATTTTTGTAAAGTACTTTTTTTGGGGGGGAGAAAAGATGCTAAACTCAAGGCAATAGAATGTTTTTAGTGAGTTATTTGTAATATTTCACTGGCTTGATGTGGTCTTATCTGCCTCGAGTCAATGAGATATTTTGACTGATTACAGTTCTTATGGCTCAAAACTAAGATGCTAACATCCATGTCAATATTTAAGAGAAATCAGAAGGCAAATAGAATCATACTATAAAATCTAAAATGTTTTGTCACTTTCTGAGATAACCTATGCTTCTTCTCTTCATACCCTTTTTGTTTTACTGGAGGCGTGGGAAGAGTCAGAATTCTTTTTTTTATCTGACTGACTGAGGATTAACCAACAGGCTACTTCTATGTTACTCACCCACTCCCACAACAGATGGCTTAAAAATTATGTTCGTTTTCTGAAAAAGCCATAGATATGTGACTGAGATTGTTTATCCTTCATATTTTTTGTGAACTTTTGAATACATTAATTATCTTTGACTATGTGAAGTTATTTAGTAAAACGGGCTTCAAAGAATTAGACTTTAGAGAAGTCTGTAAGAAACACAAAATTACCTTTAATCTCGTAAATGTACTTAGCAGTCTTCCCTACCTCTCTCACACTTCAAGGAGTGTCTCTAGTATTAGTGTTTGAGGACCCATGAATTTTCCTTTAGCTAATCCATACTCTTTCATAATGTTTACAAATTTCTAAAAGTAAATATCTGTTGTCCTTTACCTTCCTACACGGAAAAACCAAATGCTAGCTTCTATCCAAACCTTCTCAGCCTCCCTGTTAACATTCTCTCCTGAAGGCACAGGCCACTTTGCAGCATCGCTTACAGCCTGGACCATAGTTCATTTATGCAGACACTTCTCACCCCCACCAGACAGGAGCTCGTTTAAAGCGGAGTTCCTGTGTAAGTCAACACATAACTGCATCATGGCAGGGGTTCAATTAATGCTGGCTCCTGAGGGGCCCAGCTGCGCTTCCATTCATCTCACTAGCCCTGAGAACTTTATCAGTTCTCTCCCTTTCCTGAAATGTACAAGTGAAAGTGACTTTGTGCTGTTCTGAGTAGAAATGATCCATGGTTTTGAACAAGGGTGAGATAATTTTAGCTTTATTTCCATACTTCTCTTGGACATTTGTTGGCTATTTTTCAAACTTCAGGCATATACCATGCTTTAGGCAAAAAGCCCAGTGACTTAGTGAGCTCTTTCCTAAACTTCACTGCTAGCTCAGAGCCCAGAGCCTCAACAATGCATTACTCAGCTCTAACGCTTATTCTGGGACTCTGGGCAAGTCCCCTACCCTCTACATGTTTCAGTGTTCTCACCTATAAAGATGATAAGATAATCTATGCTTCACAGGGTTGAGTGTTTACTGAGTACTTCAGAAAGGTTAACAACCTTTAGGTTAATATTCCATAATCACCCTGATTTTGGTAGGGGAGGATTTTCTTGTGGAGCCTTTTCAAACGCATGTTTAAAATGCAATAAATCACATCTACTGATTTACAAATATATTTATCCCTTCAGAGACTGCTTTTGTCAGCTCCAGTTTTAATGATCTTTTTTTTTTTTCCCCATAAAGCCCAAAGATTAAGTTATTTGAGATTCATAGCATAAACATATTAAATGGATAATCCCCTTTTATAGTATATTATACAAAATGATATATTACAAATGTAAAACTGTATACTCCTAATAGTTAGATCTAAATCATAAAGATCCACAAACTTCAACTGTTATAATTAATATACACAGCATGAGATACTTTGTAAAAGATTTAAATAAAATACTGCTACAGGTGTGTAGGCTACTTACAGTCCTCATCTTCTGGACCTTCACTTCTCCCTCACCTATACATTCAAGTATTTATTTATTTTCCTTTTTATTGACTTTATTGGAGTGACTCTGGTTACATTCACGTATTTAAGCAGATGCAGACAGAATCCTCTTTCTTACCTCTCCATCTGCCACAGCAGAATAATTCACTTGGGCAACAGTAACTGTGGTTGGCAATTCTGAAGCATCAGCCAATGTGGCTACTGTTGCCCCTGTACCAACCTAAAGAAAAATATGGAAAGCGGTTGTCAGTGGGTGAATCCTTCTACTGCTCCTTTACTCAAAAGCTAAGATTCACTTAATCCTAATTTAGCACAAATAATGATTAATAGGCTTTGTAATAGGAAATGAGTTATAAAATCATATCTCAGACACGAGTTTCAGAGTTTTACTTCAACCAAATAAATCAGTATTAGAAGCTATCACATTTTACCACCAATGTCCAATGGCAGTCAACCAACTTTTTATTCTTACCTCAACCTGAATTTTAGAGGTTCCCTATCTACTAACAAATCTTGTTTTACCTCAGAAGAGGTAATTAAGAAGGAATATTTCCTGGTCACTGACAAAGTGAAATGGGGGGGCACTTTTATAGTGCTGTGTTTCAGAAATGTCAAGAAAAGCTATCTAGAGCTCAGTATTTAGCAAAATGCAAACAATTTAAAATAGTATTCAAAAATCAATTTTTGGCAGGAAGATCTTGGAGAACTATATAAAATTCACACAGGAGTTTGCATAAAGAAAACTTTTTCCACTTTGAGGTGAGGTGCTCACTGATCTACAATCAGAAGCCACAATCTGGTAACCATAAGGTTTACTCACCTGGATAAGTGAGACAGTGCCATCAGGGTTACTAAAGGTCTGGACTACGGTCTGTGACGGTACAAGATGGGCTATACTATGTGTGGTTGTGGCCTGTGTTTGTGTTTGCTGGTCTTCAAAAGCATACAAAAGGTCCTCCCGCCCATGCTGTTTATAACAGTTTTTAACTATGGTCCGTAGTGCTTGGGTCCATGAAACCTGTTACCAAAAGACCAGAAAAGCACATTAAGTCACAAAGAATGGTGGTTATTCAGTTCCACTATGGAATAAGCAGCTGACCATTTATCAAAACAAAACAAACCTTGTACAGAATAAACACTCTTAGGATTATTTTCTTTTTTTTTTCTTCTTCTTCCTTTTTTTTTTTTTCAAATACATCTTTATTGATTTCAGAGAGAGGAAAGGAGAGGGAGAGAGAGAGAGACAGAAACATCAATGATGAGAGAGTCATTGATCGAGCCCACAACCCGGGCATGTGCCTTGACCAGGAATCGAACCCTGATCGCCTGGATCCTAGGTCGATGCTCAACCGCTCAGCCACGCCCGGCCAGGCAGGATTATTTTCTAAAGACTGATTCTGGCACGAAGAAACTCAGTACCAAGTACCAACAATGTCTCACTTTTGGATTTTTATATAAGTTATTCTAACCTGAGGCCAACTCTTAAACTTCTCACAAAAGGTTACTCTTTTCTTGAGAATTTTATATTAAGATTCTCAGTAAATTTCCAAGCTAACTAAAAACAAATATGCAGAAAAGGGATGACATCTAGTTTAGTCTTTCTTCTTTTCTATCTTCAGACTTAGCCAACTTCACATCTCTCTAATTCCACATTTAAATTTTTCAACAGTGATTCTTGCTAACCAGAACTAAAAACATTTCTAAGTTTTCAAAGTGGTTAATAATTTTACAAATTTCTTCAGTTTTTCCATGCACCTCATAAAATTAAAACTGCTCCAAAGGCAACTATGCAGAGAGAAATGTAAATTCATGGACCCATCCCAAGTCTTTCCAATAATGGAGTGATGAATGGTAAAGACTATAAATCAGAGAATAACAAACTTCTTTTGGGGGACATGTTTGACTATTACACAAATATTTCTAGACTCCTTAGCATAAGAAGTAGAAAGACAAAAATTGAGGGAGTTGATTCAACATGGAAAAGCAACAGGCAAGTCAGGCCAGAGGAACACTCACCCTTTGCTTTTGCTCTTCTGTGCGGACATCACTCCGGACATTTGCCCACGGGATATCTTCAGGCCACCAGACGGGCTTGCAGCTTTCTTTGCCCCAGCCTGGTTTTCCCCGACCCGTGGAGTACTTGAGCATCTCTGGAATAAATGCCCGAAGCTGGGCCTGGAAGACAAGAATGTGGTCAGCAGTAGTCATGAAAGATATCTGGGATATGTTTGTGTTTCCCACCAAATTCTATGATTATCACACAGAGAGCCTTCCTGGAGGGCCGAGAGAGTTCCAATATGTGACTGATGAGTGCACTGTTTTCTACCTGTTACTATAGCTCCACAAGTGATTGAGGATTATACATATGTTGGTGAAATAAACCTTAAGCTGTATCGCACAGACTTGTTCCTATAAGATCAAGAATACCTTTCCCCAAGTTTGATTTCTGCCTCCTAAGATACTACTGATGCTATAGCTTATTTCCCTTCTATAGCTTCCACACATTTAAGGCATCAAACAAAGTCACCATGTTTTCAACATTATTCTGGAGGTAGTAACCAGGGCAATTAGATAAGAGAGAAGTAGGAGGTGAAGAGCAGGTAAATCATTATTTATTTCATCAGTAGATGAAATGACCGTGTATCTGGAAAACCCCAAAGAATCAAATGAAAGACTACTGTAAAAATAAGAGAATTCAGTAAGGTGGTTGGTTACAAAACATATGAAAATAAATAGGCTTTACTAAATAAAAAGGGAAAATAACCCTAAAATTCTTCTAGGAAGTTTTGAGTAAACTAGGTCAATGTCTATCAGTCTGACTCATAGAGATAGTGAAGTATGTGTGATCTTAAAAACATTATGGCCAGGCCCGGCCGGGCGTGGCTCAGCGGTTGAGCATCAACCTAGGATCCAGGCGATCGGGGTTCGATTCCCGGTCAGGGCACATGCCCAGGTTGCGGGCTAGGCAGCCGATCAATGACTCTCTCATCATTGATGTTTCTATCTCTCTCCCCCTCTCCTTTCCCCTCTCTGAAATCAATAAAGATATATTTAAAAAAAAACATTATGGCCAGGCCGGGCGTGGCTCAGCAGTTGAGAGTCGACCTAGGATCCAGGCGATCAGGGTTTGATTCCCGGTCAGGGCACATGCCCTGGTTATGGGCTCGATCAATGACTCTCATCATTGATGTTTCTATCTCTATCTCTCCCTCTCCTTTCCTCTCTCTGAAATCAATAAAGATATATTTAAAAAATAAAAAAACCCACAAAACATTATGGACTTTATTCAGGCTTATTTTAGAAATTGAATCCAGATGAAACAGGTGTTAAACCTCAGAGACAACTGCCATTCTTTACCTCCTGGCACAGTAACTACACTGTGTGTGCATGTTGGGGGAGAATGGGAGACTAGTTGGTGAGTGTTCTTAATTGTGGACAATGATTTCTGGCAAAAGAAGCAGTTTACCAAGTTATAATCTTCCTCCCCAGACCTGCTTTCCTTATAACCTGGTGGTCTACAACACTCCAGAGATAAGCCGTATTGTCCAGCTAAGGACACCATCCATACAGCCTCTACAGCTTAAGACCAAAAGGAGAGGACAATTTTAGCAATGAGTCAGACCCAAGGACACAAGCTGGTAGTTGTAAAATAGAAAAAGAAAAAACCAGAAATGGGAATACTAAAGTATTAATGAGAGATGAATGCAGCAACACTCTTATACTGAACAGCTACTTAAAGATCAGGTGTTCTCATTTAAATATTATTGTACCAGAAGATGATACAAATTATCACGTAATAGGGAATCATGAGCCTAAATCAGCAATATTTACCTAATAAAGAAAGCTATGGTTGACAGTATTTACATCCCTAATTCTTGCCGAGCCTGCCATTTCACCTCTTTCCAAGTTCCCCATCTCCCAGACAGTCTCCTGCCTACAGGATATGATATAATACACTCCGTTATATTTGGCTCTGCAGCATCAAGCAGCAGGCTAACAGAAATGTATCCATTTGCAAACCCAGGCTATCGGCTGGCTCATGAGGTCACTCCTTCAGTTATTTTAAGAAAGTGCATCTCAAAGTCATTTTTCCCTTTATCCTGGTTTCCTGGGAGTGTGTCCCTTTCTAGCCTCAAATACACAGAGAAGGAAAAGGCTTAATCCTCACACAGGATATTTACATTTCTTCATATAAAAAAAACAATGGTTTTCTCAGATGCATAAACAAAATAAATTCATACCACAGACTTTTATGTCTCCCCTGCCCCCTTTTAATCCCATTAACAGTCTCCACAGGAGTGTTCTTTATATCCATACTAAGTAGAATCTGGAGATAATGACATAAGGAGGCTAAACATCTCTAAACTAAACTAACAAAAGACCAAAGCATCCAGAAAGAACTCACTGTTGAAACCACTTGGCTGACAGTCTGCTCAGATCCTACTTGGAACCCCATGTAATCTCCAGTTCTGATCCCCCCAGCCATTTGCACCAACAGTTTCCTATGCCCCTCAGTTCTGGGTCACCACGGCACCTGGTTTTAGCTCCCCCAGGCTTTCCAATGGGTTTCAAGAACCCCCTGGTTACTTCAAGTAACCAATGGGCACAGCACCAGCCTACTCACTTAAGCCCTCCATTCCCCTCTCTCCAACTTCTTGTTTCCTCAAGGTCTTTGTCTTTGCCAGTAGAACCCCATCTCCTTTCCCCAGACACCCAAGCTCAAAACCGCAGCTTTACCTCTTTCCTTCAACACCCATCTAGCCTCTCATTGCAAGTTCAAGTCTTTCTTCTTTGAAATGTCTGTGATCATCTCTTCCTCTCCAGTCCCACCTTCATAGCCTAAGGCTAGTGTATCTTGCTTTGGCTTTCTTAGGGAACTCCCCTCTCTTCCCTATCACATACATCCTTGACAGAAAGGCTCCCTAAATGTTATATAGCTCCTATGCTCAAAACCCTTCAAAGTGTCTTTCACTATACACAACCAAACTAGACTCCTCTGTCCAGTTTTGGTTTCCCCCCCAATTTGGCCTCCACTACTCCCGGTTTCCACTAATTCCAGCAGGCAGCCTTGGTCTTCACTGTGCAAGTCTCTGCATTATCTTATGGACTGCTGAGCTCATTCCTGCTCCTATGCCTTTGGATATGCTCTCCTTACTGGATTACTTTCTCATGCTACTATTCCAGTGCCACTGCTCATTCCTTAATGCCCAGTAAGTCCTACATCCTTTGTGAAATATATCTTGACTACTGTTTGAGTCAGCTTTTTGCATACTTCAATAAGAACACGAGCTCTAGACTCAAACAGTTAGCTGTGAACCTTAACTCTCTCTGAATCTTAATTTTGTCAATTGCAAAAGGGTAATGATAATGGCAAACACAGAGGGTCAACTGAGAGGATCAGAGGTAGCCAATAATATACAGTGGCTCTGAATTAATAGCAGTTTTACTATTGCTTCAGCCACCAGCCATCTTTTCAAATTCAAAGAAATAGCTAATTTTCTGAAAATGGTTTTCTGATACTAAAAACACTGTGATATGCGCAAAGACATTTATCCTTAGTTTTTCAAGGCAGGTTTAGTGGAAAAAGGGAGAAGGAGGCCTAAGAATAAGCTGACATGTACCTGTGTAAACATGATTGAGGATGAGGAAGAATGCTAGAATCAAAAAGGAACAAAATGACCACCTAGACAATTCCTTGCCTTTAGGAAGCAAGCTATTACCAACTCAGTACAGGCACTTTAGGTGATTTGTTCTGCTGTATTTGAGCATTTAAAAGAAGTGTACAAGCAGATCACTAACGGAAATCATTGGAAAATGGGACTCAAGTGTAACAATAATTACAGAAAAGAGAGAAAGAACTAGAAAATTTCTCAAAGACGTTTTGTGTGCTATAAATCTGTGGATGGGAAATGTTCCAAGCTCATAGGAAGGAGAGGTAGAGGCTGATATGAAAGACAGGAGAAACAGAAGCAGCACAAAAGGAAGGTTATGCCCATAGGTAAAAACCCCATTAAGTTAAAAAATAGAACCAGAGTGAAATTAACTGCTGGTGTTCAAGTTCCTATTCAGAAGCAGATCTTAGCTTTTTAAAAGTACTAATTATCAAGTGTACAAAACTTCTCCTATATCAAAACAAGAGGTGAAAGCACCTTCTAATATAAAAGTTCACTTTTCAAGTCTGTATAATACACTGGGGATGAAGGACATTAAGAGCACAGAGATAATATGCCTTCATTGAAAAAGGCTATTTCCTACCAGTCTATCTTTATACCGTCCCAGGTAAACAGTGCAAAGGCTACAGGAACTATCGATAAGGAAAATGAGCTGTCCAGGGGAGAAAGAGTTAAATATTCCTTTCCAGGATTCAGCACTGTGCTCTCATTACCAGTTGGATTAATTACTGGTCTTGGAGAGTTTTGGAAACCCAAGTTACTCAGTGTGCTTGTTAAAGAAGGTTTGTCTCTAATCCGCAGGGGAGACAATCAACAGGATCAGCAAAGGTAAAGCCTACCCTCTCAGGCTGTTCTCTAATTGGGCAGCAAATAGCTTTCCTGGCCCTTATTCTGATTGTCCGGCTCTAGACGGGGTTAAAGTGCCCAGCTTCGTCAGTAAACCCACCTTGAACCAGCAAAGAGTAGAAAATACCACTCTGTCCAGGGCACATTCAGCAAAGAAAAAATATATCAAATTTATGCCAGTGGCAGTCAAAAGGAAAGATTATGTGAAAGCCACAGATGGTTTTAAAAGAAAGATTTTCTAAAACTAGAAAGTTTAATCTGGCCAAAATAAAACAATTCTTCCTCTCCTAGAAGTTTTCCACTTGTAAATTCAGTTAATTCTTTGCTGTCCAACACTGCATTATCTTTATACATTCCCAAATACTCTTCTCTCATCCTCTTTTCTTTGTTCTGCATGTACCCTAGTCTAGGGATTTTGAGGCTCCTGATGTCCATTTAGGTTTAGTTACCAAGAAAAAGCCTTTCAAACCAAAATGTTAGCCAACTCCACCTCTACTGAAGGGGTAAAAAAATCTGTAATAAATTTACAGGGAAGGCTGCTGAAATCAGATCACGTTGAAAGGTGATGTTTTCTATAGCTTACAGGAAAACAGGAATGTGGCAGGGAATGAGTACTGTAGAATTCTGAGACTGTGGTTTCATATTTTCATTTAAACT